TCTCTAAGGTTTCATCCAGTACTAAAATTTAATAGGTCTTCTTTGGAATAACAAAAGTTACCTTGCAAGTAACCCAGTGCTTTGCATGTTGCTCAATAAATTTTAATTGACAATGGCAGTGATGAAGTAATGAATACTTGGATCATTATTCTTGAAAACTAGTTATTCTTGAAAACTACAAATAGGAGGGCCCCTTTATCTTCTCCGATGAGAGGCTACTTGGTCAATATTTACAACTTGGTGGAAAGGGGGAAATGTAGATAGGGAGGGAGTCTGCAGAGTTTCTTACTTGAGTTGACTATCTTCACAATATTGTATCTTTTCAGGGTGAGTGCCATAGAGGGCTTTGTTGACTGCAAATGTAGTTGTAGGGTGTATTATAGACAGTTTTGGTGGAATTAGCAGGGAGCAGAAGAGGGCAGAATTACACAGAAAATTCTCTGGAGTTATATAGCATCCATTATTTCCTAAGGGGACTCCTTCAAGGTTCCATTTTGGGCCAATTATTTTCCATTTGCCCCTGCAGATCTTACACAAATCCCTTGTCCTATTCTACTCTCTGCCCAGGAGGGATGACATATGGACTCCATCAACAAGCTCCTAACCTCTAGCTTCTAGCTAGGTCTGGTCAGGATATGAGGGAGGGAGAAAAATGAAATCAAGGTATTTATTCCTGATATCCCACCCTTTGAGGTCAGCTTGAGCTGTCCATGTCCTTTGACAGGTTGTTACTGCTTCTCTGAAGGCAATAGTCACTCACAAGTCTCTCTTCTTCTGGGTCCTGGTAACTGTTCCCTTCCTGCTCTCATCAGGTCTAGGGTTGGTGACTTCTCTGCTGCTGTGAGTCCCAAGTTCCTTCACTATCCCTGTGGTTTACCTGTGTAATTAGTTCCTTTTTAAATTAACCCTTTTAGAATTACTTTGAGTGTGCTCTATTTCCTGCTGGAACCATGATTAATAGCTATACCATTCTACAAATGGAGAATGAAGATGAAATGGCAGCTGGTGCCAGATCGCCACACATCTTATCATGCAGCCCTCCATCACAGCCCTCTGGAGCATCTTAATTGTGCCCTCTGTCACCTTTTCATTTTCTTCCTCAACAGTTGACTTCTTCAGTGGCCTCATGGACCAAGCAGGGAATAAGGCTGTAGCCAATTCAAAACCAAGCCGCAAATGCTCAATTCCTTCTCCTACCCTTCCCAGTATTCTACTCCAGCTCTTCTTGGCACTGTAGACTGAGATTCTCAATCAAAGGCAGAGGTTTTGTCTTGGTCTTCTTTTGTTCCTAGAGCCTGGAACATAATACATGTGAAACATCTGCTTATGTAATGAATACATGGAAGATGGAATTAAGGAAACGTCTATTTATTAAGCCCTGTTTCCAGGCAGCCCAGGGGTGGTCTGCTTCTCTCCCTTCCTTGAGGATACTCATTACTTTTCTTGCCTCCTTGCACAGCAGTGCTGCTCTATTCTGACCAGTCGTGTGCTTTTGTAAATGGCTTTTGTTTTTTCTCTATGACAGCTTTAATGAGATATAATTCACATGCCATACAATTCACCCATTTAATATGTACAATTCAGTGTTTTTAGTATATTCGCAGAATTGTGCAACCATCACCACATTCAATTTTAGAACGTTTAATTACCCCCCCCCAGGCCTTATACCCATTAGTGGTTACCCCTCCCCCACCAAACTTTTGTACATCTCCTCTTGCCCTCATCTTCTGGCAACCACTAATCTATGGATTTGCCTATGCTGGATATTTCATATAAATGAAATTGTACAGTATGTGGTCCTTTGTGAGTGGCTTCTTTCACTTTGCACACTGATTTCAAGCTTCATTCAAGTTGTAGCATGTATTAGTACTTCATTCATTTTTGTTACATCTAAATTTATTCTACTATATGGATAACACCACATTTTATTTATCCATTCATCAACTGGTGGGCAGTAGAATTGTTTCCTCTGAATTCTGGTAGGTGTTTGACAACCAGCAATCTGGGAAAAAAAAGTCCTTCTTCATAGCATTTGTTGATTTCCTTGGTGTAAATACCCCCATCATGGCTGATTGCAAGCTACATGATGTCACTGAACATGGAATTGGAAAGAGATGCTAAAACAGGCTCTTGTGAGCCCCTATAAGCCAGCTCCAGCATACCGCTCTGACCATCTTTACTGATGGGTCACCCAAGTTACCAGAGATGTGGCCACACACTATTACTTTAGGATAATAATAATGATAATAATAAAAGTAATACAACAGGGAACATTTATTGAGCACTTTATGTGTACCAGGCACTGTGCTAAGCTGTTTTTTCTCATTTAATTCTTGATCACAACTCATCTCCTTAGCAGCCTGCAGCTCCAAACTACCAATATTCTGTGCTTGGTTCAATGTCTCCTAGCTGGTCCCCCTACTGTTTCTTAAGTACTCCAAACACATTACATCTCACAACTTCAGCACATTTCCTCTAACTGTTACACTCTTTTCCACAGATATTAACATAGCTCATTCCTGCATTTCTACCAGATCTCCGCTCAGGTATTCCCTCCTCAGAAAGGCCTTTCTACCACCTCATCACTTTATTTAATACTTTGCCAAGTTTTGTTTTTCTTCATAGCACTTATTACTGGCATTCTCTTATTCTGTATACAGTTGACCCTTGAACAAAGTAGGAGTTAGGGGTGCTGACCCCTGTGAAGTTGAAAATCCGCCTATAACTTATAGTTGGCTCTCTGTATCAGTGGTTCTGCATTCATGGATTCAACCAACCCCGGATCATGTAGTACTGTAGTATTTGCTGCTGAAAAATATCCATGTATTAGGGGACCTGCAGTTTAAACCCCTGTTGTTCAAGGGTCAACTGTATTTACTTTATTTGTTTACTGGCTGTCTCCCCACCACACTGTAAGCTCTGTGAAGGCAGAATCTTTTGTTCACAGTTGCATTGCCAGTGCCAAGACCATGCCCTTAATCACAGTACTAAGCTGGGAAATTTGGAATTTTCAAACAAGTGCCTTTCTGCTCCTCCTGCTGCTGTCAAAGGAATGTTTGGAGAACATTATGCCCCAGTCCCTGCATCTCTGTTACTAGCCCGAATCCCAGTAGAGCCAGGACTCAACTGACACAGGTGGGAGACAATACAGTGATGTGGCTGAGCGTGTACCTCACTCTGGGGCCAGTCTCAGTGGACCCACCTCCCAGCTCTGGCAGCAGCTCACTGTGTGCGCTGGTAGGTTACTCAGAGTTTCGTATCTTTAAAACAGGATAATAAGAGTCCCTACCTCATAAATCTGTTGTGAGGATTAAATTAACATGTTAATTTAAAGTGATCAACACATAGCAAGTGTTCAATACACCTTGGTGAGGACATTGTCTGGAGTAAGCTTTACTTACTGCATAAGTCACCTGTGTGTCCTGCCACATGGAAGCCCCGTAAAACTCGCTACCTGCCTCCTCTGCAGCTTTTCTATTACCCTCGTCACTGGCATTCTTTTTTTTTTTGTAAATGCAGTTTATTTATTTATTTAAATTAATTTGTTTATTTTTGGCTGCACTGGGTCTTTGTTGCTGCGCATGGGCTTTCTCTAGTTGCAGTGAGTGGGGGCTACCCTTCGTTGCGGTGTGCAGGCTTCTCATTGTGGTGTCTTTTGTTGCGGAGCATGGGCTCTAGGCATGCGGGCTTCAGTAGTTGTGGCATGCAGGCTCAGTAGTTGTGGCTCATGGGCTCTAGAGTGCAGCCTCAGTAGTTGTGGCGCATGGACTTAGTTGCTCCGCGGCATGTGGGATCTTCCCCGACCGAACCTGTATCCCCTTCATTGGCAGGTGGATTCTTAACCACTGCGCCACCAGGGAAGTCCTGTCACTGGCGTTCTGTAAGAGCACTTCTAGATTGTCCTGCTGCCCCAGGGAACTGGATGGTTCTCCATCTGCTTTTGTTTCTCACAAAAGAGGAGACCCTTGGGCTTCAAGAAAGTGTGATCAGCCTGCTTCTCTTTCCTGGCAAATCACCTAAGCTTAGCCACTAAGTTGGAAAAGGCCTAAGGGAAACCTGGTTATTCTTAGCCTAACTAGCTGAGACTTGCCAGATCTGGAGCATCCCTAGGGCTTGGGAAAGAAAAGCTCCCACAGAGGAGAATCTTTACCCACAGCCCTAAGATATTGAAAGTAAAGGAAGCCAGACTGAGTGAAGAAAGAAAGAGATGGCAAGTCATTCTTGAAAAGAAGAGTAACCACCCAGTATGCAGGACTGGCTTGGAAGGAAGCCGAGGCCCTCAAGTCCACTTTACTATGTGCTCCTGCTAGGCAGGGTCCCTAATCCAAGGACCTGTGTTTTACACCCTCCTTCCATGTACCACCCTCCCGTCCCCAACTCCAGGACCATGAATTTGGTTTTAAGTCATGCATTGCTCAGATGGGGAACTTCATTTAGTAATTTTCATAAATCTAGTTCTGTTACTATTTACTGAACGCCCACAAGGAGCTGGGCAGTATTAGTGGGCAGTCCCAGGAATCCTAGGAGCCAAGAATCCACAGTCACATCCCAGAAAAATAATACCCCTGTCTCAGCATCATTATTTCCTCGGAGTCAGCTTCTAGGTCTGATCCATGCACAACACAAACACTTCCTAGTACCTGGGCTCCCGCGGGGCCTCTGTGAAACGCTGGAGGATTAAGGGGCGGGGAATAGGGAGGGCTGGGGAGGTAAGGAAGGAAGGAGGGGGAAGGAGTAAAGTGCGTCTTCCCCTCTAATCCTGTTCCGATCAGGAGTCGTCCGTGTTCCCAGGCGCTGATTCCGGCCGGCAGTCCAGAGACTCTTCCAGGAACCGCCGGGCATCCTGGCTGCGGACTTCGACTGGTCTGGCGCTCGCGTCTCCCTCCTCCCACCTCTCTCCTCTCTCCGGGATCCATGCCTCATTCAGGGGCGTGTCCTGCCCTACCTCCCTTTCACAGTGGTCCACTCATCCTGTTACAGCGACAGCGGCGGCGGCGGCGGCAGCCAGAGCAAGAGCATCGGTAGCTCGGGGTTTTCAGAACTAGCGGCAGCAGCTCTGTGGGGGCACCTGTGCGGCGCAGAAGTAGAAGGACCGGGGTTGGGGTTCGTGCCAGCCGCTGAGCCCTAACGGAGGGGCGCTTCCCAGCCCCTTAGGATTCCACTGCTCCGCAGAATCTCGGCCCGGAGCTGGGAATACTGGTGGGGTGTCATGTGCAGGGCCGGCTAGACAGCTGGGGCAGGGAAACATTTGGTCCAAGAGTAGAGAGGCAGAGAAAGCTGTGTCTGGGACCATGACAGCCTCCCGCCTGGACTTTGGGGAGGTGGAAACTTTCCTGGACAGGCACCCAGAGTTGTTTGAAGATTACTTGATGCGGAAGGGAAAGCAGGAGATGGTGGAGAAGTGGCTGCAGAGACACAGTCAAAGTCAGGGGGCTTTAGGCCCAAGGCCCACATTGGCTGGCACAAGTGGCGTGGCTCACGGCGGTGGCAGAGGTAGTAACAGCAGCGTTGGTGATGGCATCGGACCAAATGTCTCTGCTAACAGCCAGCACACTCTGGGTGGTAGGGACTCAGGTGGGGTTCCCCTGAGTCCCAGCTGGGCCAGTGGCAGCCGCAGCGATGGGAGCCTGCAGCGGAGAGCTTCTCAGAAAGAGCTAAGGAAGAATTTTGCCCGCTCCAAGGCCATCCACGTGAACAGGACCTATGATGAACAAGTGACCTCCCGGGCCCAGGAGCCCCTGAGCAGTGTGAGGCGGAGGGCACTTCTCCGGAAGGCCAGCTCCCTGCCCCCCACCACGGCCCACATTCTCAGTGCACTGCTGGAATCGCGGGTGAATGTGCCTCAGTACCCCCCTACTGCCATGGACTACAAGTGCCACCTCAAAAAGCATAATGAGCGTCAGTTCTTCCTGGAACTGGTCAAGGATATCTCCAATGACCTTGACCTTACTAGTCTGAGCTACAAGATCCTCATCTTTGTCTGCCTCATGGTGGACGCTGACCGCTGCTCTCTCTTCCTGGTGGAAGGGGCAGCTGCTGGCAAGAAGAGCTTGGTCTCCAAATTCTTTGATGTGCATGCAGGAACCCCACTGCTGCCCTGCAGCTGCACAGAAAACTCAAATGAGGTGCAGGTCCCCTGGGGCAAAGGCATCATTGGCTATGTCGGGGAGCATGGAGAGACGGTCAACATTCCTGATGCCTACCAGGTAGGACTTTGCATTGTCCCCTTCCAGAGCCCCATTGGTCTGGGAACCAAGCCTTCTGTTACCCTTTGGCATCCAGGAACACATTAATGTAGACTCTTTACAATATGAATTTTGCTATTTAAATTCCTTCTGAGTTTAGACTAGTTAGAATGTTACTACACTATCTTTGATCTAATGGTCTTTTCCTAACACACAGTGGCTTGTGGAAAATTCATATATCACAGGGGCTATGTTTTGTACCCAATAATACCTCGTGTTTCTCTGTCAAGATACCTTGTCTTTAAGAATATCACAGAATGGTTTTAGAATGCATTTGTTAGGTGCTAGAAAAAGATGTCTACTCCAGAATTCCAGTGTTAGTCTGAAGAAAATGGGCATGTTGGTGTCTCTGATGTCATTTTGGGACCGTAATGCATTTCATTCTCATTCAAGATTGGGGAGAGATCATGAGTTCCAAGGTAAGGAAGACGAGGAAAAGAGGAGGAAAGTCAGGGGAAGAATGGGCCTCTGACCCATTTATGCCTTTTTGGCATCTATTTTAACTGTTTCTGTTGTTGAGCTGAGAGAGGCTGGGCAAATTGAGGGGTTATTTAGGCTTGAATCCAGCATTATCTGCAGTCAGCTTTTGACAGGACTGAGCAAGTAGGTTTTTAGTTTGTGAAACAAACAAAAAATAGATAATTTTCTAGCAATTCCAAAGGCAATGAGCAGGGTGAACATGCTAGTTTCAGGGGGAAAAGGAAACCCAACATGCTGTCGTCTGCCTTTTATTTTCACAGTGATTTGAACTTGCTATTAGATCCCGAATCTGAAAGCCAGTCTGTTCTAATTTATTCAGTATCTATTCACTGAGCATAATGAAACTGGATGCCACCTTCTATGGGACTTCTTTGGTGTTCATAATAGTGGAAAGTTCTTATCCTTGGTCATGAAAGTTTTGTAGTCATTTGATGAGCTCTTGTCTAATAAAGCTGCATGTTTCTCTAGAGTTTGTTGCTGTTGCTCAGAATAGCAAAAGTGGTGGGAAGGACACTAAAGGTAAAATTTTCTCTATTTCATCTGAAAGTTGGCAATATTATGTAGAAAATTGACGAGCTTGTACTGAAACCAACTTTCATGTTTTTGTGAGATGTCTATCAATATAACGCTTTAATATTAAGGAATGCCTATCAAAATACCATTTTATTTACTTTTTTATTTATTAGATGCATTATTCACTATATCCTTCTTAAAGAATTTGATAGGTTTAGGACAAGCAAGCAGTGAGTGATCTTTAATAAGTGTCTATTTCTGTATAACCCTAGAAAGCCATGGGAAGAAATAAAAGCATTTAATAATTGATATGTTGAAGATTCTTTAAAAAGTTGAACAATCACAAATTCTTCTCTTTCTCATTATTTCCACATCCTTATTGTGTGCTTGGGCTAAAAAAAAATCCCTTCCTAGTAGAATGGCTTGTTATAGCCCAGAATTGCAGTCTTTTCTCTTTATTGCCCTTACTTTTCTTATTCTTCCCCAACTGATTTTCTCCATTTCTATAGCTTTTGTTTCTTATTCCCCTCTGTCAGCTCCTAACTTTTATTTAATACTGTTCATATACTGTCTTTTCTTCAAGAGCATAATTCTCAGCTTCCTCAGCAGTTAACTTGTCTTCCTGCTTCCTAGAATTGCGGCTAGAGGTGTTACCACAGGCATAGAAAATCAGGTTTTCAGCTGCTGATGTTTCTTCAGGGCCCTACTCTACTCTGAAGACAGAGGGTAAAGGAAAGTTGCCTTTTAATATTTGGGAGCTGACTTTGGGAATGGAGAGTTCTTCTTTTATCCGCCCAGGGTAGTAATGATGGCTGTAAAGACTAGGTTGTTGGGAGGACTGGCAAAAGGCAGGGAGGGGAAGTGTGTTATAGAGTTGAAGATCTTGGTTCACTCTTTGTCTTCATTTTGATCTGCTTAGAAAGTTTCTCTTTTCTTTCTCCATTATCTTCTACCATATATGTCTGTGTTTTTAACCTGGTGTGCTTTTCTTCATTTTTACTTCACTACTTTTCTTCAAAAAAATTACTTTTTTTTCTTTATTATGGTACACCAGTCACCATTACCGTGACCCTGGGAAAATTTCTTGATCTCTGAGTCTCAATTTACTCAGATGCAAAATTGGAATAATAACACCTCTGTGGTCAAGATTATTGTTTCGAAAATAAAATGAGATATTGCATTAGAGCCCCCAAAACAGTACCTGGCACACTTTAATTATTCAAGAAATGGTAACAGTTTATGATGACCATGATGATATCTAGTTTGCTAGTATTCTTTTTCTTTCTCTTTGTCTAATTTTCCATTTTTTTTCTCCTTATCTGGGGCTGAGATAT